GACATCCACACAAGTGTGATTGATGAGCTTGTCTCTCTGCATAGAGGATAGAGCCATATGGGTGTTCTGAGTAGCATGTGACATGTGCTGTGTAATAGCCAGGCATAGCAGAACCAACAGGAACGGTTTAAGAAACAGCAACAGATCGTTTATTACAGGCAGTTTGAGAAGCTGTGGGAAAGCGGCAAGGAAGGACCCTGGAACTTCCAGAAGGGACTGCTGAGCTCCACAGCAGACCGGGCCACCAAGGGAGCCGCCTGTGGAATCAGGGCCCAGCTGTGGGTTTCCAAACCATCCACCTCTGCCGCCAGCTGCACTAGCAAAGCAGGTGCCCTGGGCAGCTCCTGTCCCCGTGCCAGGAAATGTGGGAGTTTCGCTTTCCACCCCAGCTGCAGAAGGCTTGCTGGGAGAAGGCTGGAATGGAAGGCCAGTAAATGCCACGTAGTCACTCCCAAATTCCAGGCTTCCAGCACAAGGACCGAGGTCCTGTTCTCCCCCACTGTCACATGTTCCTGGACCTCTGTGCATTTGCACATTTTGTCTCCATTACCTGGAATGGCCTCCCTGAATTTCTGCTGGTAAAAACATTATTCATTCATTCAACAAACCCCTATAAAGTTCCAGGCAAGGTTTTGGGTGCTTCTGATTCCAAGATGACTATGGCGATGTCCCTGCTTCCAAGCACCTCATCAGCTGGTTAGGGAGACAGATACAAACATAAATTAACTTGCCTTCCCAGAACTCTCTCTTTCTGTGCAGTAAAGCCCTTTACATTGAGAAAGGAAAAGAAGCATCAGGGATGAGAGCCCAGCCCAGGTAGCCTTGCCAGCTATGTGACTTTGAATACGTTACTCATCCTCTCTTAGCCCCACTTTCCCATTCGAAATGGCATCGACAACAGCACCTGCCTCCTGGGCTTGTTCTGAGACACTGCATGGGAAGGGCCGCATCCAGGAGGCACGTGACATATATGATGGACAGCACTGTCTTTTCCCATCCTGCAAAGCCTGGTCGTATGTTCCCTCCTGTGAGCCTCCCCAGGGCCTCCGTGGGAAATGAGTCCCCTCCTCTTTCTCTTTTCCTCTCACCAGCGTTGTGGGACACACCTCTGGGATATCAGAAATATTGGGAGGGCTGTGTGTATATATTTGCTGAGCTGTTAAAAAACAACAACAACAGGAGTGGCCTTTGTCAAGTATTAAACATTAAACATTAAAGGAAATTTGGAATGAAATGATTATCAAAAGTCTACAAAACAGTGACTGTTTTCTGAATCCACCCACATTGTCAACTCAGAATGCCCTGTTTTCCTTTAGGTTTCTCCGCCTGGCACACAGTAAGAACCCACAAAAGTGGATAGTAAACTGATGAATAAGTGGACTTGTATTTGCTCTGACACATACAGTAGATGTCCCAAGTGCAAAGTCCTGAGGCCTGCACCTTGAACTCTTTGGAGGAAATGAGCTATGGAAACCAGTCACAGGCAGGAAAAACAGTAACAGTAACATCATTACTCAGTGCAGCGGGTGAAATGTTCTCTGTGAGTAGTAAAGGAGATACAGGAGGAAACCCAGCCTTTTCCAATATACCCTCCAAAAAGATATGTCCACATCCCAACCCTTGGAACCTGTGAGTGTGACCTTACCTGGAAAAAGGGTCTTTACAGACATAATGAAGTTAAGGCGCTCTAGATGAGATCATTGGGATTACCCAGGCGGGCCCTAAATCCAATGACAAGTGTCCTTATAAGAGAAAGAGAAAGATAGACACAAGCTTTGGTCAGATAGACACAAGTTCAGCTGGTTAGAGAGTTGTCCAGATTGGCCAAGGTTGCAGGTTCCATCCCCAGTCAGGGCATATACAAGAATCAACCAATGAATGCATAAATAAGTGGAACAACAAATCTATCTCTAGATTTACCCCTCACTCCCTCCATCCCTCCCTTCCTCTCTCTAAAATCAATTTACAAAAAAACAGACACAGAGAAGATGATGTGAAGGAGGGAGGCAGAGGTTAATGTGACACAGCCACAAGTCAGGGAACTCCCGAAGTCACCAGAAGCTGGACATGGCAAGGAAGGGTTCTCCCCTAAAGGCTTCAGAGGGAGTACAGCCCTGTTGCCCTCAAGAACTGTGAGAGAATAAATCCCTGATGTTCTAAGCAACCCAGTCTGTGTGCTTGGTTACAGCAGCCCCAGAAAATGAATATAGCTGCTTTGGAACAACAGCAGCCAACCCTAGTAGTTGTAGCACAGATTGCATGGCCCATAATGTGCCTAAAATATTTACACAAAATGTTTGCTGACCTCTGATCTAGAGTATCGCCCTTTTTTGTATGGTTGATGATAACATGCCGCTATAGCTACTAGGGAAAAAAATAAGTCACCCTGTTAGTATTACCTTTATTTTATAGATGAGGAAATTAAAGCAAAGTGAGATTAAGGGATTTATCCAAATACGGTGGCCACATGTTGCTTTCACATGCCAAAACACCCCACCCATGTCCCCGTGGTTTGGGCAGGGCTCACCTCACCTCCTGGTTCCAGGGTCGTGTACCCAACTGTCTTGGTCAGTTGGGGCTGCATATATAACAAATACCACAGTCTGGGTGGCTAAATAACAGAACTTTATTTTCTCACAGTTCTGGAGACTGAAAGTCCAAGACAGGGTCCAGCAAGGTCAGGCTTCTGGTGAAGGCTCACTTCCTGACCTGCAGATGACCATCTTCTCCCCGTGTCCTCACAAGGCCTTTCCCTGGTGTGTGCACGAGGGGGTCTCTCCCTCTTCTTATAAGGACACTGGTCCTGTTGGATTGGGGCTCATCATTATGACCTCATTTAACCTTAACTACCTCCTAAAAGGCCCTATTTCCAAATATGGTTACATTTGGGGTTAGAGCTTCACCCTATGAATTCTGAAGGGACAGAATTCAGTCCATAGCTCCACAGGCCAGGCTAATCAGTGCATTCTCGAACTTGGTCACTTTTAGCATATGACTCAAGGCTATCCCTAGCTATAGCATTTGCTGCAACTTTCAAGGAAGCAAAGCTTTCTTTTCCTTTGCTCTGAGGATAGTGTGAGGCTATAGAAGTTAGGGGCATATGGAGAGGACCTGGCAGAGGGTGCAGCCAACTTAGAAGAAAGCAGAGCTAAGAAACCTATTGAGAATAACTAGATCCAGTGTTACGGAAGTAGGAGTCCCTAGACATCTGTTAACATGATACAATCAATTCTGTTTGAGCTGTGTTTCTGTCACTTACAACCCAAAGAATCCTGACCGATAGACTATCATCTGATAGCTAATAGTAGTGGAGATGGGATCTGAAAGCAGGTTTGCTTAGCTCTAAGAGGCTCAGCTCAGGATTTCCTGGGAGCAATCTCAGTTCTTAACCCAGAAGCCATCCTCAGTCCTGATTCCCAGTTGACAGCTGTGTTCTGAACATTTTGCCTTCACCCTTGTTCTCCCTAATTGACGAGGGGAGCAGGGAAGGTGTGATGAGTGTAAATAAATAATGATAATTATTTAAATCTAGATTATTTCAGGGAGTGCTCCCTGGCTATGCAACAAAACAAAGCTTCCCTGGACTGAGGTCCCAATGTAGGTCCTGACAAAGGATACAGACAAATTCCCAGCAGTTGAGGAAGGGGAACTCCTGGCCCCCTCCCTGGGTCCTGATCCCTGGTTTTCTGGAGCCAGGTGCCTGTGTTCAAGGCACAGCTCAGCTAAAACTGTGTGACTTGGGCAAGCTGAATGGGCCTGTGCCCCTGAAAAATGGGGATAGTGCCCACTTCACCGGATTGACATGAGGAGTGAGTGCACCTATAGGGCGAACATGTGTAAGTACTGGCACACAGTAAGTCCTTTGTAAAGGCTGTTATTATTAATAATTCCCGAGGCTGGCTCTTCCTGGTTCAGTTCTCAAACCAAATGTCACCTCACATAGAGCCTCCAGCTTCCATGAGGCAACCCCCACCTTCTCATTCCCTCATAGTTTTTTCATCCAGAGCATTTTCTTCTATGGGATCCCTTCTCTTTTGGTTTCTTTGTTTTGTTTTGTTTTTCTTTAAGGTTGCAAGCTTTACAAAGGACAGAAACCTTGTATATTTTGTCAACTGCTATTTTGCCAGTACCTCGCCTCCTGCTTGGCACGTACTAGGTGCTCAATAAATACTGGTTTTACTAAAGGACAGCAGCACTCTGGCTGATGCTGCTTTCGTTGGGGTCCTGCCATACCACCAATAAATACCACGCCACCGCGACGTGCTGCGGGTGGAGGAGGGACAGTCTCGGCCTGAGCTCTTTTCTCCTCCTTTCAACTTCCCAGGGTAACTTCATGTGAGCACAACTCCAGGAGCTCCCGAGACAAGGCCACCGCCCGGGAATCAGGGCCTTCCCAGTTGTGCCTTAGGGGAGGGAGAATGGGGCTGGCCCGCAGGAGACCAGTTCCAACCGCGTCCAGAAGTCCCTCCCGCCGCCTGGCGTCGCTTTAAGGCGGAGGCCCAGGAGGGGGCCGACCCCGCCCGCCGGCTCGGCGCGCGGCTCCAGACTTCGGCATTTCCTCCCCGCTAGCTGGCGCGGCCTCGCCTCCCCTCGGAAGAGGAAACTCCCGGGCCCCGAGTAACGGGAACGGGAGCGGAGGAGCGGCGGGGAGCCGGGTGTCAGGAGGCCGCCCAGGGTAGGAGGCCGGCGGGGCCGGGCAGAGGCGGCCGTGGGCAGCGCGCCGGGGCGCCGGGAGGGGAGGGCCCGCGGGCCAGACGGAGCGCGCAGCCGGCGCAGGGCGCGGCCGGGGCTTGGAAGCGCAGGGCGGGCCGCAGCTGGAAAGAGAACTTGAGCTGGGAGAGGAGGCCGAGCTGGAGGGCGGCTTCCCCAGGCCCTGCGAAGGGGGAGCCGCCGGGAAGGCGAAGAAGGAGACCGCGACAGCGGGGCTGCTGGGGGGCTGCGCGCATGCTGGGCCGGGGACGCCGCCGGGGCTCGCGCCCTGGGCTGCCCGGGCGCCCGGCATGTCGGTGCATTACACCCTCAACCTGCGGGTCTTCTGGCCCCTGGTGACTGGCCTGTGCACCGCCTTCGTGTGCCTCTACCATGTCCTGCGAGGGAGTGGGAGCAGCCGGGCCGAGCCCCCCGACGGCGCGGACGGCGGCTTCCCGCTGCTCAAGATATCTGTCCTGCTCCTCCTCGGCTACATCCTCTTACGCTGTCGCCACGCTGTCCGCCAACGCTTCCTGCCCGGGTCTCCCCGCCTGGGGGACCGCTCCGCCTTCCCTCCAAGACACTTCCAGGAGCCGAGCCTCGGCATCTTGCTGGAGAGTTACTACGAGCACGAGGTGCGCCTGTCGCCACACGTGCTGGGCCACAGCAAGGCACACGTGAGCCGGATCGTGGGCGAGCTGGTGCGGGCTGGCCGCGCCCGGGGGTCCCCAGGCCCCATTCCCGGGGGGACACTGGCCTTGGCCTTCCGCGGAGATTTCATCCAGGTGGGCAGCGCCTATGAGCAGCATAAAATCCGCCGGCCCGACGCCTTCGACGTGCTGGTGCCGTTGCGCCTGCCGCCGCTGGTGGCGCTGGAGCCGCAGAGCCTGGGAGCCCAGCCCGCTTTGGCCCCGGCCTTTCATGGCTGCTTTGTGTGTGCACTCAAGGCGCCGCCGGGCACCTCGGGGGGTCACTGGCTCCGGGATTGCAAACCCTTCGCCGAAGGCTTCTGTGTGGACGTGCGTGGGCGGCGCCACCTCTCGGCCACCCTGGTGCTGCGCTGGTTCCAGTCACATCTGCAGCGCTCCCTGGCCACAGTGCGCTACAGCCTGGAGGGCCGCTGTCGGGTCACTCTGACCCCCGGCGGCCTGGAGCAGCCTCCCACTCTGCACATCCTGCCCTGCCGCACCGATTATGGCTGCTGCCGCCTTTCCATGGCCGTGCGACTCATTCCTGCCGTCCATTTGGGCGACGGCGTCTTCCTCGTAGCTCCACCACCAACATCCTTGCCCGTCGGGCCCCTGTCAGAGCTCCCCGGAGGCCTGCGTGCTGATGCACTGTGGGGCGTGAACACAGCCCGCCAGGAGCAGAAGCTGCTGGGTTGGCTGCAGGAACGGGCCCCTCCGGGTGCCTGCTACCTCAAGTGCCTGCAGTTGTTTAAAGCCCTGCGAGATCTGGGCGCCCGCGGGCTGGACCCAACGGCGGCCACCCAGTGGGGACGCATCCTATCCTCATACGTGCTCAAGACGGCACTGCTGGCGGTGCTGTTGCGAGAGGGAGCTCCGGAGCAAGGCTGGGATGAGGCTCACCTGAGCAAGCGCTTGGAACAGTTAGTGCGGTTTCTTCGGGACTGCCTGCTGCAACGCCGGACACTCTTCCACTCTGTCCTGGGCCCTGGCGGGGTGGCAGTCGAAGTGGGCCCACTGCCCAAGGTACTGCGTGAAGCCGCCCCAGTTGACCTCTTGGCTGCTTTCGATGGACGCGCCCGGGAACTCGCAGCTGCACGGTTGCTGTCCACATGGCGCAGGCTGCCGCAGCTTCTTCGGGCCTATGGGGGTCCCCGCTACCTTGCCAGGTGCCCTGCACCCCGGAGTCAGCGAACCCAGGGCTTCCCTAAAGATGAACCATAAACCCGACAGTGCCCCTGGCCTAATGCTCCTAAAGCCTCTCCCACCAGGTGGGGGTGGGGGTGGCAGTGCAGCCCGTCCAACTGCAGGAAGAGGGGCTGCAGAAGGTGTTGGAAATTTGGAGGATGACATTTGATGGCTTAAATGTCACCCTTGTGTCAACAATCCAGTATACTTGTAGCATCTTCCTCACACCCACCAGAGTGCCACAGGCAGGCTCTGGTAAGACATCCAACAGCAGCAGCTAAGAATTGGTCCAAATGTTGGTTTTTTGGTGGAATGATTTTGTGGAAGGATCCCTGGTTTTAGGGAAGTCCAGTGAAGGAAGTGAGAACTAGCAGCAGGGAAAGGTCCTTCTGTTGGTTTTTGAGATGCATCTCTCTGGCCCTCAAATTTAAAGAAGTTAATGTTTTTTTGGTGCAACTAATTGCTAGGTCCTGGGTTCCTGATTGACTTTTAAAATAATATGACTATCTACAACTGGAATTGAAGTTCTATTCTAGGGGCTACTCTGCTGAGGAACATAGTTTCCACTCTTCAAGTTAATATTGATGTATTTTTAAATGGTGCAATCATGGGTATTGGATGGGATTGTGAAGAAGTCAGTCACACAGGTTGAAAGGCATTCAGGAGTGGGTTAGAGTAACTTCCAGAGCAAATAGCACTTTATTTTGATAAATTCTTTTGTTTTGTGGTAATTGCTAGTGCCAAGTATTGCATCTGAAAGGGAGGCTACGTTTGCTACTAAGAAATGTGCAGTCTTGAAAAGTAGGCTTGCTTTATTTACATCCCTACAGGCACACGCCAGAATGTGTACCAGTCAACACCCATTCACTACGCACATCCTGTGAGCCAGCCAGGCACAATGCAAAGTAGCATCAAAGTGCATGTTTAAGACAACACCAGTGAGGGCGGAAAACATGTTGGGTCTCGAGAAAGATACAGTCTTTGCCTATCAAGGTGACTGGGACTTGCTGCTGGCTGGAGACAGAAACCTTTTTTAGTTTTAAGGCTTTTAAGCAAACTCCTTTGCACGAGATTTCTTTCTCAGTTTAATGAGAGAATGAAGAGGAAATGCCTACTGTAGTGCCTAGCATGAAGTTAGTGCTCTTACTGCTCAGTAAGGGTTAGTGGTTAGAAAGTTATTCTCCCATCGCCCAAGCTGCCTTTTAGTGGTCCTAAGGCAAGTTGGAAGAGTGGTTGTCAGCACAGGTCTTGCAAAGCATTTCACTTCTGTCTAGTTCAGTATCTGGGCTCTGTACTTGAAGATCAGCGACTCCCTGATAAGTCAGCAAAGGAGAAAACAGTGGAGGAGAGCAAGAGGAGATGGGTGGAAATAAAGGGAGATAGTCCTTGTCAGCAGTCAGCTCTTTTTTTGTCACCAGGTTGGGTGTATTTTGCAGCTGGGAGGAGCTCATTCTGAAATCCCTCCTTGTTCTTCCAAATTTCTAACAGCCCACAATTCCAAGTTTAGAATGGTCCATCATATGCTCGCCTAATAGAAAATGCAGTCAGTTCCAGTGTTATACTTTGGGATTTTTTTTTTTTTTTAAACAGACATGTACTCCCTTAGACTCTTAAAGCTAAAACTTGGAAAACAGAAGTAACCACCTGAATAGGGCCATTGTTTAATTTCTGAATTTTTTTAAGGGAACTCTTTAAACTTTCTTTAGGGGACCTACTTGGCCACTACAGGAAATCAGTGTGAATAAATGATTTATAGGAAATCCTCATCAGAGCTGTAGAGACTTCTTATAGCCTTTACAACCTTGGATGTAAGAGAAACAGTTGCTAATGTTGTGCTTTCTCTTTGAGGATGTTTTTGGTAGAGTTCCCCTTGATACCACAAAGGTCATTCCTGGCTTTTGAGGTCAGTGTTAGGTTATAAGGAACTGCATTTAGCGAAGGGATCAGTCTACCAACTTTCTGCCAAGATATAAACTGCACAGTGCTGTTTGTTTGCTTGTTTTTTAATCCTCACCCGAGGCTCTTTCTCCATTGATTTTTTTCAGATAGAGTGAGAGGGAGGGAAGGAGAGAGAGAAACATCAATGTGAGAGAGACAGTGACTAGTTGCCTCCCGCAAGTCCCAGACCAGGGCCAGTGCTCAAACCCGAGACACTTTGGTCCGCAGGCCAAATGCTCTAATCCCTGAGCCAGACTGGCCAGGGCTGCACAGCGTTTTTAAAAATTACTTTTTAAAGTAAAAGCCAACAGGAATTAGATCTTGTAATGGTTCTGAAGTCAGCCACAATTTCCCCTGCAGTCATTAAGTCTACTGGAGCGGGGGACCACGAGGCTCTCGGAGGATTATAAAGCTTTAAAAGCTGAACTTTATAAATATTTCTAGCTGAGCTGATAGGCTCCTTTTTTATAGTCGTGTTTGAAGTTTAAATCTGGTAACATAGTGTTCTTGTAGGTTTTTGTTATTTTTTTCTTCAGGTTAATTACCCAAAGCCTCGTCCATCCTCAAGATTTTAAATTTTTATTATTTTTTTTTTAAATTAATGGGCATTGTATTTGTTATTTTTTTTTAATATTAATGTTTTATTTAAATGCCATGCTGAGCAATTGTTCTCTGTACATGGTAACCAAAACGTAGAGTTTTCGATCAATTTTGATCAATGTTTAGTAATCCCAAGCATGTACTGTGTACAAATGAAATAATATGGCATATTAGCCAGGTGTGATGGTTGCCTGAGGCACTTAAATTAAGCTCAGTTCTGTATTTTTTTTTAGGGCTCCATCACGACCTTGATCAGAAGAGTACACATTTTTGGTGTATACTTGGTACTAGAGATTCATGTTTGCAAATATTCTTATACAGGAAGGCTCAGAATGGCTCATGTTAAAAATATAAATAAATAAAAAAGATTAATTATCCAGCCAGTGCCCGAAGAAAATGTTTGGGGAAAATGACTCAGCCATTTTGCCACAAGACACCCTTCAGTAACTCCCACTGGTGGACTTGGCTTGGGAGCCACCCTGGAATGCTCCAGGGCTGGGAGTAGGAGGTGGGTGTTGGTGGCTGTTTTTTTGTTGTTTTTTTTTTCAAAATGAAACTGAAGTGAAAGAAGAGGGAATGTGAGTGAACTAAGACAAATTGAAAGGACTCAGGAAGGAGGACTTGGATGGACGTGAAAGGAAGGAGAGACGGGGTGGAAATCATATGAGGGTGGGAGAGAGGTTTGGGTTAGTAAACACGTTTTTAGGGATGTGCTATTTCAAAAGCAGGGGTCGCAAACTCAGCAGCCTGCAGAGACAAAGGAGAGAAGGGGTAGGTGGGCAGTGGGGACTGCCCCTCTTAACAGGGGACAGCCATTACTTGGCTCCGTGCAGGGAAAAAAGGGGTACAGAGGGGCTGGAAATCAGAACTTTTTTTTTTTAAGTTTTAAACAAAATAATTAAAAAATTTCCAAAACACTATGTGGGCCAAACAAAACATTTGGTTGAGCCTGCGGGCCACCAGTTTACGACCCCTGCCTTATACAGTTAACACCCCCAAGTATGTATAAGGTTATATTTATTGTTAATGGATATGATGTCGTTATACATAGTCGGGGGGCTGATATTTCAGTTTTCTTTATCTCTCAGAGAGCTAAGCTTCATTGTAGAAACAAACCAAAAAAATTAACACTGCCACAGATAACACTTAACTCACAATTCCCAGAAGGACCCTCTCTCCAGAGCTGTTCTTTGCAGTCAGAGCCTTCAGCGAACCACTGGGGGCCAGTTCTTGGAATTTCCTTCCTGGTGAGCCAGGGCTAGACTCCTAGGGCTAGACTCCTAGGTCTATGGAGTTTGAAGATGAGTCGTTAGGAAGGATTGCAGAGTAACTTGTTTCTTTTTAATTTGCATTTTATTCTTATTTTTAAATTTATTATTATTGTTATTATTATTTTGGTAGTGTCCTTGCCTGTGCCTTAGCAATGATAGCTGGTGGCCTCGAACACCAGGAACACAGTGCTGGGGCTTCAGGCCAAACTTTGTAAGCTTGTTCCCATTCCCACTGTCGAGACCATGATTTGATCAGAGGTGTCTCTCCCTTTCTGACTCGGTGGCTCCCACCAAAATTGACATCCTAACATTCTGAAGGAATTCACCGAACAAATTCCAAAGTGTGTCTTTTATCCTCATGGAGTAAGTCACTTTTTCTGTAAAGTGTGGCTCTGGACCTTGACGCCGAAGACTTGACTTATCTCTACGCACGAAGAGCAAGGTTATTATCTCCCTCCCCAGCAGGGGAAAAAATGAACCTCATTAACATTTCCAGTGTCCCGTAAGAGGTTAAGAAGTTCAGTGTTATCACGTGGCATTTGTTAATTTTTTTTAAATCGCATGTCTGTTCTTTAGACACTACTGCTTTTTTTATACCTGCATACCACATGATTTGGTGGGGATAAAGCAACTATAATCGGGAGGCGGCAAAGATATATGTGATCATGTATACAGAGAAAATAGACTAAAATGTGCAGCTAAATTATATATAATCTGGTTTCTAAAGTATCAGATATTCAGGAATATTTTAAGCACCTTTTGCTTTAAAAAAAAAAAAGTGCCTTGATTTAGTCACTTGACTTTAAAACATTCCTCTTATTTTATTGTGATTTTTTAATGTGTGTTCTGACCCCAAACTGTGTTGTTATGATGCTGCGTGTCAGCTGCAGTCATAACAGTTTTGTTCCAATAACAGAGACCAAAGAGTTAATCAAATATGGTTCAGCTGCTACAGTTGTGTGATTAAAAGGCGTTTTAATCACACTAAATTTCCATGGCCCAGATAGTCAAGGCCTGCCATTTGTTTTCTATTTCAGGTTGGAGTAAATTTGCACTTTTAATCATATGGGTCATTTGGGGGCCTTGTTCTTTTATACTTTGCTTTGTTAATAAAGGAACTTGTAGAAACCTCTGGACTGGACGTCAGATTTTGGGAGGGGGTCTCACCTCCCAGGAGGGCAGGCAGCCTGCGGCTGCCCTGGCTTATGACTGCTTATGGGAGCCTCCCCTGGTCTCGGCGTCTGGGTGCCCGGCAAAGCTGGGGTCACTGCAGGCGGAACTGGCTCCGTGCACAGGCGGGAAAGGATGCCAGTTCACAGCTCTGCAGGCTTACAGCCTGGGGTCCTGCCTTCAAGTCTTCTTTTTCCTTGCCTAGAACCTTCTGCCCATGCCCCTCTTCTCCCTTCCCCTCCCCTCCCTTCCACACACACTCCTAAATGCAATTCAAGTCTTGGCCTGTGGCTAATTTATAGCTCAAACATTTTTTACCCAGAAATCTCTTAGGCCCTCAGGCCCTCTCCAAATGGTAAACATTTGCTAATATGAAAAACCACCAGGCTTAGTGAGAGATGGAATTTTGGAGGCCGTGTAGGACTCTTCAAAGCCTTGGAGCCAGGTGGAAGTTCAGGGAGACTTGTGCCTACAAGCTGATTAAACAGTAGTTGTGTAGGACGCTAGCCCAGGGGAAAAGGGGTTGCCTTTAGTTTTTAACAAGTAGTTTTTCAGTGGCTATTGTCCTGGGGCACTGAAGACACATGCAGTGATGACCAAGACAGATGTGGTCTCTCTCATGAACACACAAACTGGTGAGAGGCAGGCAGTTAAGATGTCTCCATACATGCCCTGGCCGGTTTGGCTCAGCGGTTGGAACATTGGCCTGAGGACCAGAGAGTCCCGGGTTCGGTTCCTGCTAGGGGCATATACCAAAAAAAAGACGTCTCCATACAGTGGTGGGTGTCAGGCGGGGGAAGGGTTATGGAAGCACGGAATAGGGGCGCCTCACACAGGTCGGGGAGGGCTGCTTAGAACAAGTGACTTCTAAGTCCAGATCCAAAGATAGGTTAGGAATTTGCTAAGTGAGGGGAGTTGGCTGGCGAAGAATGCATTAAGCACAGAAAGGAGCATTTCAGTGGGGATGGGCGGGAGTGGGAGAGGTAGGAAGGCACCAGGACACCAGGAGTCTTGAAGCCAGAGTTTCTCAAACTGGAGTGTGCAAAACACCGGGGAGTCTTGTTAGAATGTGAGTTCTGATTCAGCAGGTCTGGCTGGGACCTGAGACTGCATCTCCAACAGGCTTCCAGGTGAGGATGGAGCTGCTGGTTCAGGGGCCATGCTTTGATTACAAGGCTGTAAACCACACAGCAAGTTGGGACGGATCCGGGAGATACCGGATAGGCAAGGAATGAATGGCAGAGTCAACATTGGAGTTTGGCTCACTCTGTCTGCAAGGTAGAGAATGGATTAAGCAAGGGTTGGCAAAAGATTTATTTTTATTTATTTTATTTATTTATTTATTGTAAGTAAAGTTTTATGGGAACACAGCCCACACCCAGAGACTTACTCTCTCTGGTTGCTCTCACCCTATGTCAGCAGAGTTGAGTAATTGAGACAGAATGCTGAAAATACTTACTCTCGGACTCTCTACAGAAAAGGTTGGCTGGAAGTAATCAAACTGGAAGTCATGAGATGCTGCAGTGGCCTGGGGCTGAAGCAGAGGGACAGAGACCAGTCACCCTTAGAGACAGAACAGTGTCACAGCAGAGTCGGTGCTTCAGTGCCAAGAGACCTGTCTTCATGTCTTACTTCCTACACTTCTCATCTGTGTGTCTCTCTGCAAGTTACCTAATCCCCTCTGAATCTCAGGTCCCTCCTCTGTAAATGTCATTCATAATAGAACCTCCCTCATAGGAGTCACTGGGGATTAGGTGAGCTCGTGCCTGCAAAGTGCTCGACACATACTAAGTGCCCAATTCAAGTCAGGGTAGGAGTAATTATTGGAGTGGAATGTCATTTAGTCCGTGGCTCCGGCCTCTTCCTCTGCTCCCTTTGCTGCTCATTCTTTCTCCACTGCAGGACTGTTTCCGCTTTGTCCACCCAACCATCTCTCTGCTACGCAGATTCTGTTCATCTCTTTCCTTGATGCCCATGCTGTTCCCCTCTATGAGAAGCTCTCACTCTGTGTGCTGTACTGGACTGATTACAAAAA